AGTTGAGTGGATTTTTACTAGGTCTAATTACAAGTAAATGATGGCGGTGCGCTCTAACTTTTGTTTTCTAAAATCTAAATGCTATCACCGTTGTAAGTTGTAACAAGAAAATGATGTTTTCAAGTGCAACTTGCACTATATTGTAAGATAATGATCTTCGAGTGAGTGAATTGCAGTACAAGCTGGACTGTAGAGAACACATTTGTAGTGACAATGGAGTTTGACCCTATTTTTTAGTTTTACGTGAAAATAATAGAAATAAAATGTCAAATATTGTTAGGCTTAAATACACTGAATTACTGCTTCTACTAGTTTGATTTAATTGCTCACAAACTAAACAAAAGTGATTTAAATTAAAATATGTTTAATTTTAAAAAATTAAATCGACAACAACCTTTTACTCTTTTTTTTTTTTTGGATGGATACCTTTTACTTTATTTTTCATATAAAGTAATTAGTAACAGCCAGTAGGATAATATTTTCTAAAATTTGATATGAATTGTTTACTTCTTGGGATTGTTTAATGGAAGTACTAAATAATGGAATATGTATTGCCAATTTGACAGCTTTCATTTATTAAAAAAAACATATATTTTTTAATGATCAGACATACTGCTATGGAATGTCTTATATGCCACCAGCATATATATAAAAAACATAAAATAAAATATGAACACAGGAAATAATCATTCAACATTTTTGCAAGCTGGAACAGTTGAGGATGAGCATCGCATGCCTTGCAGAACTTCTCAAGGGCGTTTGGTTTACTTCCCCATAAAATACTCTTTTTCAAGATTTTATAAAGATATTTTAGTATTTATATAATTTAAAATTATAATAAATTAAACGTAAAAGTAATATTTTTATCTTTCTTTTTCTCTAAAATAATTTCCACTTCTTTTGAGGAAAAAAAAATTGCTTACAATATTTCCTATATTTGATTCACTTTGATAATTTTTCCTATATCAATTTTTTTTACAAAGCACAACAAAATTACCAACTTAAGAAAATTTTATTACAAAACTTAGTAATTTTTTATGCAACACTTTTTCAACCACTTTTTCGGTAAAAATTCCTGGAAAAGTTGGCCTCTAACCAAAGTCGCCTTTAATGCAATGTGATTTAAATCACTTTTTGTTTAAGAAAACAATTTCAATCGAAAACAGCTCTCCAAAATTTTCCAATTCTACTTCACTTTTGATCTTGTTCCGATGCAAATGCTAGTAGATGGATTTCAGCTTCAAATGAAAAAATTTAGTTTAGCAGTTGAAGATGGTTAGGGACAGACTAGATGGACTCAAATAAAGGTAAAAGTATTCCCTGGATAAACAATGAACATCTTGTGTTACTGACGGTTGCTAAATACAACTAGACAAAGCAGGGTGAGGAAAAAGGAAAAGAAATACTATAATATTTCCGTATAGAGGCTATGGAGACTGTTGGATCTAGTGATATGTTTCAAAGAAATGATACAGCAGAAAAGGCAAATAAATTTTCAGGAAACTCATTATCATTGTTCAGATTTCAGAAACACAAACCTCCTGGTGCTGATACTGACTAAAAGCTTTAGCTTTCTTCATCCCACTTGCTCTTGGGTATCTCGCCAGAATCAGCGATGATGACCTTCCTTCTGGGTTCCCCACTATAGGTACCTGCTCCACCTTCAATTGCATAGACAGTATCCATGCCTTGAATTACCTTGCCAAAAACAACATGCTCTCCATCCAACCTGGTAGTCAAAACCAAAATTGTTACAACTACATTAGCAATTTAGCATTCAAGTGGCTGCTTTAGGTAATTGAGAACTAAAAATGTCTCTATTATAGAGATTCAGTGGCAGGCTGCATCGCTTACTATAGTGTGCAGTCACCAGAGGTTATAAGTAGATTCTTTGTGCAATTGTCCTTACAGTGTATAATTCTAAAAGCCAGCAAATATCCTACCAGCTTGCCTTGACAGTAGTGATAAAAAACTGGGAGCCATTTGAATCAGGTCCAGAATTAGCCATGGAGACAACACCTGCAAAAAGGTAGGAAGCGGGTGAACATTTGGAGTTAGGTAGTAATTGAAAGACAAAGAAAAAAAAAAACAACAACAACAACTAGACAAGCAGGAAGACCATGAGGCTTTAAGCAAATAGAAGTCAATATCCATGGACGGCCAAATGGAGTACTACACGTTAGAGCACCTGCATGTGAATGTTTAATCTTGAAATTCTCATCAGGAAAGGTGCCACCATAAGTAGATTCACCTCCCCTCCCATCACCATGAGCTATATCTCCACCTTGAATTACAAAGCCAGATATTATACGATGAAATGGTGTTTGCTTATAATGAAGTGCTTTCCCTGTTGCACCTTTGCCTTTCTGTCCTGCAGGAGGGAAGGCAAGCCAAAGTAAGCAGTTGACCTCGTCAACATTGAAAACAGCCTCTCTCAATAGAAATTCAAGTTTTTCAAATTTGCAAAATAAATATGAAGAGAAGAATGAGGTACCTGTACACAAAGCCCTAAAATTTTCTGCAAATAACAAACTAAAACATTAGATAGATAAGCAACAAAAACAGCAGAAAATAGGAAAAACATAAGAACAAGTGACATGGAGAAAAAAGAAGGTTTAAGAATAGCATGGACAAAAGTATGGCCTGATTAGAGAAACTAAGCAGCTACATTGATGAAATTAAAATACTCAAAGAAGATCAAAGTCATACCAACAGTTTTTGGGACAACTTGACCATACAATCCAATAACAATTCTACCTGCAGAAATTTAAATGGCAAAGGGTTAAAATGAGGGTAACTGAGTTTGTGTTTACCAAAGATAACATGAAGGAGAGACCAAAAAAAAAAACACAACAACAACACCGTACCTAAGCGTTGGCCGTCAATATCAACATCCAAGTACACTCTATGGGTAATTTTATGGTCCTCTTCTTCAGTCTTTTCTTCCACCTAAACATCAATTTCTAAGAAAAACAATTTGTGATACGTTCTTGAGAAAGAAAATAACGTTAATCCAACCCATCGCCTACCTTAAACCAAGATTAATAAATTCAGAAAATATTTCAACCCTTGTAACTTAAAATGCATATGTAACTACAATTGTTGCCTTATCTCAAACCAAGTTTGTGATGTATCTACTCATTTCCATTTCCGATAGTGGCTGCCAAACAAAAGTATAAATAAACAGCAACTGGATATCATGCAAAACCTAATCTAAGCATCTATATAATTCTAAAAACCTATGCGGCCTCGCCTTCACAACTCCAAAAATCTCCACCATGCATGTATGTAATTACAACATTTGCCTAATCTCAATCCAAATTTATGATCTAAATTTTGTATATCAATGATAGAACCAAATCACCGAGCCAATTAAACCTATTCTTTTCCATCTCCCATTGTAACTTAAGAATTCAACTAAAAATGTACCAAGTTCTCAAGAAAAATTAACTTTCACCAACGCATAGGTTTTGAGCAATTACTTACACTTGAATCCTAATATTGGTTTGTTATGGTTTGATTCCAATCTTGCACAGAAATGATACTTCCATATCAATGTTTCAAGCGGAAATAGAAACAAGATCCTAAAATATAAAATCGAAAGAACCAAACATTCAAACAATTCAAAAACAGATTTGCATAGAGAGTGAAAAATAAATTTCAAAACCAATTCAGATCCACAGCTAAGCAGACTTAATGCAAATGCTATACTTAAAGAAAACAAAGGAAGAAGAAGAAGTGTACCTGCTTGGAGCTCAAGATTGCGAGAATGAGGATGATTGTAAGGACAATGAGAAACAGGAGGCACCGCGGCTGCATTAAAAGCGAGATCTCCCGACTCATCTTTTCCGAATTGTCTCTAATACATAATAACAATCTCTATCTCACTTTCCATCTGAATGAAAACTACAGAAGCAAGAAATCACAGTCAGTTTCTCCGCCGACCGCGTCAGCCAGTCGCCGCCGTGAAATGCTTGTATAGGTACTCTGAAGAGGCGCTGAAGAGCGGAGGGTGCCGCAGTTGTGTGTGCTATTTTTATCCTTTTTTTTCCAACCGAAAACATATTTTTATTAACGAAATTTATAAATTTATAAATTGTTAAGTTTTATTTATTATATTTATATATAATTTTAACTACATATATTTTATTTTTAATAATTAAAATTTATTTATATTTATTAAAAATAATAATTTTTTATTTAAAAATTTATTTAATATCTTAATTATTAAAAATAAAAAATAATTAAATTTTTTTTTATAAATATAATAAATAAAATTTATTTCTGTTATTTTCTTTTTATTAATTTGAATGGCAGAGAATGAATAATACAATTTCTCCTTTTTCATTTTTTTAGATTTTATTTTATTTTACTTAATTTTATTTTATTATGATTTGAAAGAAATGTTGTGCTAAGATTATATAATTTTTTTATTTTTAAAATAATAACTTCATTTGATTATTAACAATTATTAATAATTATAATAAATTAATATTTTATTAATTAATATATTAAAATTAATCATTGAATTTAAAAATACTATATCTAATTATTTTAAATATATATATATACATATATATACATATATATATATATATTTGAATGGCCCTAGTGAGCGCACTGTCATTCCTACCCAGAAAAAAAAAAAAGAAGAAGAAGTTTTGGCTACTGTACGCTGTACTAAGGGGATGTTCCGTCACCAAATTCGTGCACAGGGAACACGTGCCAGGGAAAAGAAAGCAATAAAGCCCAGCCTGGTCTGAACTTTGAACATAGGCCTTGGCCGCTACCGAGGCTGGGCTGGGCTTCTGGTGCTTGACGGACCAACTCAACTGCAAATCTCGTACTCTTTGCTTTTCGAACCCAGCCCATCAATTTTTATTTTTTTGTTCTGAGCATTGGTGATTGAGTTTGAGGAGGAGGGAGAAATTTTGAGGTGAGGACTAATCATTAGGCCAGTAAGGCAAGTTATTTTAGTTGTTTTTTGCCCACGTTTTTATTCATTTTGATATGGAATGATAGTGTGGATGATTGACATCAAATCATATTTAATTATACTTGCAATTAAATATGCTTATTGATATTCAATAATTAAGTAATGCAATGATAACTTTATTTCATAAAAATCAAAAAATTTTAAATTTAAAAAATATAACATAAGAGAGAAGAGTAATGATAGGAGAACAAAATTTTGGGACAAAAATTTAAACTTAATGACGTAGTATAAATCATGTTATTAAATTAAAAAAATTAATTAATACATATAATATTATGAATTTTAAAAAATAAAAAAATTAATTATTAAACAATATATGACTTTTTTTTTAATATTTTGAATGACATGTATCACATCATTAATTTCAAATTTTGATATCATATATCATTAGTCATAAGAGAAACGGGTTAAGAAATGAAATGAAATTTCTTTCATCTAACTAATTTAAAAAGTAAAAGTTTTCCTAAATATCTTTTTAGTGTTAATTGTTATTGAAAAAATAAAATAAGATATTTATTTAATTGACTGTTAATTAAAACAATATATGTAATATTAGTGATAAAATTAATATTAATTATTTTTTTAATATATATTTTAAAAATACATATTAAATAAATCTAAAAAATAAAAAAAGAAAGAATAAAAAAAAAGGGGCCGCGCCCACCAGAAGATTTTAGACGGGCGTGAATCTTGCGGTAGGGACGTTGGATTTTGATTTTTCGTCTTTGAAAATTATGAGTTTACAGCAGTGATATTGACGGTTTTATCATTTAATATTATTACTTTTTGAAACGAAACCGATATTATTAAAGAAACTGTTCAGCAATAAAATAATAAAAAAATCAATAACTTATTAGTTTTCATAAAAAGAATTTAATTTTTTACAAATAAAATTTTAAATTTAAATCTTATGAATGAAAAAATAAATATTAAAAAAATTTTCCTTCATATATAATTTGATCTAATTTAATTTTAAATTAATTAAAAATTAATATAATTTTTTTTAAACAGTATAAAACTTTTTCGAAGAAGGAAAGGGACCTGAAATTTAATTCTAAATTCATTAGGTCTACGTACGTTTCGCAAGAGGTGGTCAGTAAGTCACTAAGTGCGGGACAAAAATTAATATAATTTTTAGATACAAGTTAATAAAATAATAATAATAATAAAGATAAAGCAAGTCCGAATTTTCGGCACCGTTAAATGAAAAAATAAAACCGCCTCACACTGCAAGTGGCGGGCCGCACGCTGTAGTGCGGTGGCCGGTGGTGGATGATTTTTCTTTGTATGGTAGTAGTCCAACTTTCTGGTTACGAACAGGACGTGCCAAATTTGGACAGTCTGTCATTATTTAAAAATAATTGATTCTGTATAATTGTAATGTCGGGCGCACCATGCCAAATATTGGAACCGTACAAGCCATCAGGTCTACTCCTTTTTCCTTTTCTTTTTTTTCATCAAATTCTGTTTCAGCCTTTTCATTGATATTC